AGCCGACTAGATCACTCTTAACTCACCACCCACAGCAGAAATATCTGCTATGATTATCTTTAGAGCCATCACGATAATCTGGACTTCCTTAAGATTGTYRGAAGGGYAAAAATCGGCATGATTTTCTTTCTGTGTGAAGCAGGTCTTAGATAAGAGGTGACTATCTATGCAACAGAATGGTTTCATGACAAACAAGAGCACYGCAGATGCAATCTTTGCTTTGAGGAAGTTTTTTCTGCTTTCTGTGTTTCATAAATAAATCCTTATGAAGTGTGACCAACTGTAAAGAGGTTTGTCAGATGTTTGTGGACAGAATCCACCTCTGTCTACATGAACAAATAGGAGGAATACAACATTTCTAAGTTGCCTTGTGAACCTGTRATGTCTATGAAAATTATTATTTTGATACCACTGTGGCTCTAATACTAACAACTAAACCATAAATTCACACTATTTGATGACGTTATTAAAGAACTGGACTCACCGAAACGTTCTACAGTTCCTCACAGCTGGAATCAGTCTCCATCGTCCCTCCTTAGATGCTTTGTACACCAGGAGGTCCAACTCATCCAGAACCTCCTCTGACATCTGCAGCATGTAGGCCAGAGCTGAGCAGTGGATCTCTGAGAGGATTTTTTCTGATCTTTTCTTTGACCTTAAAAACTCTTGGATCTCCTGATGAACTGAGAGGTCGTTCATCTCGTTCAGACAGTGGAAGATGTTGACGCATCTGTCTGGAGAYGTACCAAAACTGTTCATCTTCTTYAGGTTCTTGATGACCCTCTTCATTATTTCTGGACTGTTGTCTGTCTGACCCAGCAGGCCTCCTAAGAGTTGCTGGTTGGATTCCACAGAGAGACCATGAAGGAAGCGAACAAACAGGTCTAGGTGGCCCTTTTCACTGCTCAGGGATTTCTCCAGAACTTTATACAAGAAAGCATTAAGAGAACCACGTTGACCTGGTTTGAATGTAAACTTTCCCAGGAACCTCTTCATCACCTCTGTCTTCCTGTTGGTGAAACAGTGGAACATGTAGACTGCAGCCAGAAACTCCTGAATGCTCAGATGAACGAAGCAGTAGACGGCTTTCTGGAAGATCACACACTCTCTTTTGAAGATCTCTGTACAAACWCCTGAGTACACCGATGCCTCTGTGACATCCAGACCACACCGCTCCAGGTCTTCTTGGTAGAACATGATGTTTCCTTTCTCCAGATGTTCAAAGGCCAGCCTCCCCAGCTTYAGAAGCACCTCCCTGTCAGCCTCCATCAGCTCCTGTGGACTGGTCTCAGCTCCTTCTTGGTACTTGATCTTCTTCCTGCTGGTCTGGACCAGCAGAAAGTGTGAGTACATGTCAGTCATGGTCTTGGGCAGCTCTCCTCTCTGCTCTGTGGTCAACATGTGCTCCAGAACTGTAGCAGTGATCCAGCAGTAGACTGGGATTCCACACATGATATGGAGGCTCCTGGAGGTCTTGATGTGAGAGAGGATTCTGTTGGACACATCTTCATCAGTGAATCTCTTTCTAAAGTACTCCTCCTTCTGAGCGTCAGTGAAGCCTCGTACGTCTGTTAACCTGTCAACACGTGGAGGAGGGATCTGATTGGCTGCTTCAGGTCTGGAAGTGATCCAGACCAGAGCCGAGGGAAGCAGGTTCCCCTTGATGAGGTTTGTCAGCAGCACGTTGAGTGAAGCCTCCTGTGTGATGTCAGAAACCTGTGGACTGTTGGTGAAATCCAGCTGAAGTCTGCTTTCATCCAGGCCGTCAAAGATGAAGAGAAGTTTACAGACAGCCAGCTTCTCTGCTGGGAGCTTCTGGAGAGTTGGATGGAAAACATGGAGCAGCCTGAGAAGACTGTACTGCTCATCTCTGATCAGGTTCAGCTCCCTGAACGAAAGCAGAACCACCACACTGACATCTTGGTTCTCCAAGCCCGAGGCCCAGTCCAGAGTGAACTTCTGCACTGAGAAGGTTTTACCAACACCTGCGACGCCGCTGGTCAGGACCACTCTGATGGATCCATGTTGGTCAGGTAAGGCTTTAAAGATGTCCTGACACCTGATTGGCGTATCGTGGAGGCTCTTGATCCTGGAAGCAGTCTCCAGCTGCCTGACCTCATGTTGGGTATTAACCTCTTCACTCTGTCCCTCTGTGATGTAGAGCTCAGTGTAGATCCTGTTCAGCAGGGTTCTACTTCCTGTTTCGTCAGTTCCCTCAGTCACACGTTCACATCTCCTCTTCAGACTGATCTTATGTTCATCTAAAACCTCCTGCAGACCAACATCTGAGGAAAAACAGAACAGACTTTAAGAAAACAGTCATTATTTTTGTTGGTTGAACAGCAATGTTTTTTTTCTTGCCTGAAACTCACTGCTTTCTCTGGACTCTGTCCAATCATTTTACCTCAGCTTCCCCAATCAGCAGAGACTCGTTCATTTAAGTCCAGATTCATTTCCAACAGCTGTGGCTGTGATTTAAATTGAGCAGTTCTATAGCTGGATGTCTTTGCAAGCCTCAGACCTGGCTTAATGTTAGTTATTTGTAAGATTTGTTGCCAGGTCCAGTTAATAGTCAAAAGTCTTCAGCTGCTCAGTCCCCTGTCTTTCGAACTTCCTCAGAACTTTAGAAATTCAGTTTCCATTACTACCTTCAAATCCCAGCTTAAACTAGCATGTTTAGGAAAGCAAATACATTACAACCATAAATCTCTGCAACAACCATTATTATGCTGTATCAATAATCTCACATTATCTCAAAGGACTGGTTATTGTTTATGATTGTAGCTTTTTTCTTGGCAGTATTTATTCTGCTAATTATTTTTATTGTTTTTACTGTGTCTATTGTGAATGCTCAACATCCGTTCATCGGCCGGTCCATCTGTTCACATTATGAGATGATTTAAATAATGAAGACCTGTTATGATTCCAACAAAACTGCTAACAGTTGGTCACTACTGAATGTCCAAGCCCTGGTGACATTTGCAAGGTCATGTGATCCAAGATGGCTGCCACGGTAGCTGAACATTATTTCATATAAAAATAGCAGTTGTTCAGTAATGAATGCAGCTGTTGAGCTGATTTTGTTTGCAAGTACATCTAAGTATGTGTCAACGCATACTTTGAGCGTTTTTAGATCATGAGCGATCTTGCAATATCATGAGGAGATCGCTGTAATGGAAATAGTACTTTTTGGTTTATGCCAATAATTCATGACATAYTTTAATGACCCAGTTTTTCATGACACCCTTTTTATCAATAGATAGAATGATTATAGCCWGAAGAAGATTTGCYAACAACAATCCTTCTTAGATATCACTTGTGTTTATCTTTGTATTTTTTCTTGACCCAGCATTTCCTTAGGATGAAATCTTGCTTAATTAAGATGACATAATGGTGTTTGTTAAACAGTATATATGAGGCCTCAACTGCCTCGAAGGAGCAGGAGCAGCAGTGGGAGCGGAAGCAGGAGCAGAGAGCAGGGGGACAGTCTGATGGCTCTATGTTGTTCTCTGTGTTCCTGTTGTTGCAATAAAACTCAGCTGATCATTCAGTGAAGTACCTTCATTCTTGGMCCATGTTTCTCTGTCTTTGTTAAATAAATATTTCCACAACAATCACAATTTACTACTTTTTGCCATTTTTACTCTGCACATGACGGGGAACATCATCGACAGTTGGCATTGAGTTTTATCTTGTATTTTCGACCTCTGTAAGGTGACTTTGGGAGTTTTGAAAAGTGCCTATAAATAAAATGCATTATTATTGTCCCCCTGTCGCCGAGGCGGGGGACATAGAAGTGCTCTCTCTCTGTCTGTCTGTTCACCTTATGAGTTGATTTAAATAATGAAGGTCTGCGACGGGGGACATCAGCTACGATTGGCTTTGAGTTCTGCTTGTTGTTGTTGTGACAGTACTGAAATATGGGCCAACCTCACTATACCAATATCTGGTAGTCAAACAAATTCAAGATTCAATAAGTTTTTCACAAACACAGCAAACATATAGGTTACACTGAGCAATTATATTGATTTTTTTAACTATTATCTATTAAACAACAAAAAACTAAAGAAATAAACCTAACTCAATGCATAGAAAAGAGATAAAACAAACGCTAAAGATTAGTCGCATGAATTTGGCAAAACAATTTGTTTTTTGTTATGCCAGATGCCCTTCCTGTCACAGACCTGGTTGAGACAAGTAGGGACAGGTGGGGCCAGGGCAGGAGCAGGATCCTCAGAGGGAAAACCTCTGGGACAACAGAGAAACAGAACACTGCAGCACTAACTAAACATCTTTATTGACCGTTACATTTGAATGATTTTTTACTGATCTTTAATATGACACACCAGTCAGTCTGTATTAAAACACCAGGTTGACAGAAGTATATTACCTTGGACAGAGCTGCTGGATTTGTCTTCACACTGGGGACAGGAGGGGGGTCCTGATGGAGCAGACTGGTCCCAGTGTGAGGTGATGCACTGTCTGCAGAACCAGTGTCCACAGCTGGCAGGGACTGGATCCTTCAGGACGTCCTGACACAAAGGACTGTGGAGACAGTTCCTCATCATCACTGATAAAGAACTGGAACATCAGGAACTGTTGATCAGATTTATTCTAACATCTCTAGCTGCTGCTTCACTCTGACTACATTCTTAGCCGTCAAACCAAAACAAATCCTAAAAGATTTTAAATGTGTAAAGCTATGAGAGGGTACTGGCTGGGTATCAGGCTCAATGCTCTATTGTAAATTTTAGAAAACTAAACCCCAGTTTACATTTTATTATGCCTCCGCCCACTGAGGCCTGGATTGTGTGCACAATATTTCCTGAATGAAATGATATATTTACTTCTAAATAGGCATAGTAATGCCATTGGGGTAGTACTCAGTCTGATTAGATTTGAGCATCAAAAGGTCAAAGTTATTTATGATGATTGGTAATATTAAACTAACATTTTCTTCTAATTCCTCAACAGTACAAATGAAATGCCTGGTTAAAAAAAGGGAACAACATATTTTGTATGATTCAACCCAAATTTGATGAATGTAAATGTTTCAGGCCACATTAATCCCACTTGAACCTCTAAACACAGCCTTGCAAGACAACTTGTTAAACCTGTTAATGTTTCTGAGCATGGTCACTTCACTATAAAAAAAACTGTTCATTACAATCCTAATTGAGCCAAAATGTATTTTTATGCCTCCACTTGAGGAGGCATACTGTTCTTTGGTTGTCTGTCTGTGCGTTAGGTGTCCGTCACTCTGTCTTGTGAGCACTGCATCTCCTGAAYGGAGCTATTGATTTCAGTCCAAACTGACAGGATAATTGTTCATGGCCCACTGCAGGCAGACTGTCGGCCGCGGAGATGACAGCACCTGCAGTGCAAAGCAGGAACAAATGAGGACRGGAGAACTTATTTATAGTGGCAGAGTGGGTTGAAAGATGGTTATTATTGTTTTTAACGTACCACGGGCTCTGACATGTTAAAGGAGACCAATTATGGGTCCTAGAAATGTTTATGGTATGTCTGTGGGCTATCCAGACCATGTTCATTCAATTTAATGCACAAAATAATTCTCAGATAATAAAATTTCCCATTTTCTAGTTCTGCCTGCTCTGACTTCTGTTCAGAAGAGCTGTTTATGTTAATGAGCTCTGTTGGTAACGCCCTCCAAAAATCTGTTGACATTAACTCYGCCCTCCAAAGCCTCCTCTGCTCTGCGCTCACTCTGCATGCTGTTACCAGAGCAGGGAGCAGCAGCGGTCAAAATACCTCAGAAACTCGAACAAATAGGCTTTAACAAGGCTTTAATAAGCTAAACAATAGAGGTACATGAGAAAACGCGTTCATAACGAAATGAATGAAAATAAATTTGAAACTGAATTTTTGAAAAAATCTGTACAACTTGAAAAAAATCAGTGAGTTTGCTCTTTACGTCCATATACCTGCAAGATGAGGGAAAATCTGTGTAAATTACAGACAATCTGTACAACTTGACATATAGGGATTTTTGTTGATTGAACCCTCTTATTTTGGATGGTACACATACTGTAAGTGGTTGGTCACTGAAATTAATGAGATGGTAAATATCAAAGAGGAAGTCATGTTTAGACACTGTTGATATAGTTCTTAGAATAATTATATCCAAAAATAAATGTTAACATGTAACTGCATGCCCAGTGCTTTAAGTGCAGATGAGTCTAAGGCAGGCGGAGGCACACCTTGTTTTCTAGTTCTACCTTGTTTTGAGTGAAATCATTGCACTTCTGCTGCAGCCCTTGTTTCCTCTGAAATCAAAGATTTTTGTATCCAGATCTAAGGGTAGTCGTTCATGTGCGCTTACTTTGTGTCTGAGGGTCCAGGTTCATTGCTGAAGTTCAGAGGTTCTTCTTTGGAGAAGTCACTCTTCATAGACAGACAGCTGGATCCTGGAGACTTTGCTGTCAGTCTGAGGTCCTGACCTCTGAGACACAAACATCTTGTTATTCACATCACATCAGTTTCAGTRTGAAATAAAACATGATGCTTTATTAGTGTAGATTATGTGAAAATGTTCTTAAAAATATGTTTAAATAAAAAGATTATAGCGCTAAATATATTTATGTTTTCAACAGGCCTCATTCTGATTCATTTATATACCAGAGCTTCTGAACTTTTTTCCTGGCAGCTCTATATAAAAATAATTCACTAAAAAAATACCATCATCATGCCGTGTCTGATGGTAAAACATGTCTTTTTAAAACGAAGCAGGACACAGTTCACCCGATTAAACAAAAATAAAATTAAATCAAACACTTTATGTTCAAGAGTTTGTGTTTTTAACTTATCTTTTCAGTTTCAATTTAAGTTTTAACTTTATATAAATCACATTTCACCCACCAGTGACTTTAAATCAAATCAAAACAGTTGGGTTTTTAAAGCAATTTAAAACAGCCATCRCTGAAACAAAGTACTGTGTAGGGACCAAACAAACAAACAAAAAGTCATCAATAAAAGCAAGTCAACAGAAGCTAGGTTAAAGGCTGGTGAATAAAAAAAGGTTTAAAGAATTGTTTTAAAAGCAGGCAATGAGGAGGCCTGCCTGATGTGTAGCAGTAGCTCATTCCAGAGTTTCAGAGCAGCAACAGAAAATGCTCGATCCCCTCTGAGAGTTTGTGTAATCCTCAGGAGCAACTGATCAGCTGAACGGAGATACTGTGCAGGGGCGTAGGGGTGGAGAAGCTCAGAGAGGTAGGGTGAAGCAAGGCYATTAACAAGTAAAAGAATCTTAAAAAGAACTCTAAAATGCATGGGCAGCCAGCGGAGGGAAGCCAGAATGGGTGTAATGTGCTCCCTTTCATGTAAAATGTGAGAAATGCTTTCAAAACAATGGGCCTCATGCAAGAACATGTTCGTATTCTTATCCTAAATTTATCTTACTTTTGTTCGTACGAACA